AAGAGAGTTTAAATCGATCTCAGTCCGTGTCAATATTTGCTCTTCATGCTATTAAGTGAAGATCTACTTTAAAGCTATACATTGAACAGCAGCGCGATTAGCTAAAGCAACATATTCAGCGGGCATCCTATCGCATGCACGCTGCTTGTGTGGATGCAGTCAGTTTTGACCGCAAAAGATGAGGTAAGCTGATTGGATATCATGTATTTGACCGTTTACGGCACCCCCATTTTCCTGTTTTTACATTAGAAGCGGCATTTTGCTTGTCAGAAATACGTTCGGTTTTAATGTTGCTTTAAGTTGGGGTATTAAATGAATGCCAAAACTCAGAATTTTGTTCGCGTACCCCCCACAGTCATCTCACGTACCCCCAGTTTGAGAACCACTGGTCTAGGAGAAACAACAGTGATTTTCTTTCTTACGGGTCTGATGGACGGCTGTTCTTGACATCAGCAGCGATCACTCACACATTGACACTTTCTCCTCTTTTATTCATCTCACATACGCTCACGCCCAATTACCCATCTGCCTCTAGTCTGCCTGACCTTATGCCGCTCTGGGACCCAATCAGATCTCTTCAAACGAGCGTGAGCTCAGTGTGTCTCTGCCCCTCGCAGCAGTCATAATTGCACCTCCTCATTTAGCGGGATAACGAGCATCTGTCAGCCAAACCCTAGGGACGGGAGGAACCTGCACGCGGGAGGGATCCGGGCCGAGCATTTCAGTTCACATTTGAATTGTTTTACTTGTCTTTACGAGTACAGAAAATCTGCTAAAAACTGACTTGTGATGAAGTTTGGGAGCTTCTCACCACTTGAAATGGCTCAAACAGTGTCTATTTAAAATCAGAAATGCAAAAGTGTGTGTGTGTGAGACTCACTGTCTCCGTCGCAGAAGTTTCTGAAACTCCTTCAGGTCCTTCTCCAGCGCGGGGAACTCATAAACGTCTTCCAGCACGTATCGATACAGCGTCTGCACAAGAAGAAGATATATTTACATTAGCACTTGATCGATCAGTTCGGAAAAGTGGCATTTCGTAATTATCAAAATTAATAACTTTTCCCTTTTGGATGAATGTGTCACAAGCCAGATTTTGACGCGATGTACTGTATTAAATAATAAAATAATATAAAATGCAAAGATTTGCTACAACTTTATCATATATTCTTATTTAAACAAAACTCTTGACTGCCTTTTAAAGATTTAATATTAAAGATTTGAATATATCTCTATATATTTCAACACTGTACACTAAAAAAAAACAACCTAGAAATGTTTATATCATTAGATAAATATCCACAATTATCATTTGAAAAATCTGCAAAAGACTGAGAAATGCTACATAATGGTAATAGAACATGGAAAACATAACAATGTGTCTTTTTATTGTGTTAGAGACACAAAAACAATCAAACAGTCTGATCGGTGTAATCATGAATTGTGAATAAATGACTCTTACAAGTGCTTTTTTTTAATGAATCATTCTAAAGCTTTAGCTTTTATAATATTTTTAGCTTGTATATTTTCAGTTTTCATGTTAATTTTCGTTAAAGCTTTAGTAATTTGGTTGTGCACTATTGTAATTTCATTGTTTTTTGCTTATTAGTGTTTTTTATATTTATATATGTAGCTTTATTTTTTTCAGTTTCGTTTCAGTAATTTTAGTACTTCAGTTGAAACTTATTTATTTCAATTAGTTGCCAAGGCAACATTTCTAGTTTTTATGTTTAAGTTTTTCATCTAATCAATATCTACATTTTTAAATTGAATTGAATTTTATTATTTTATTTTATTTCAATTAATTCTTCACTGAATGAACTCACTGAATCAGAGTCACTGAATCAACATATGATCTGATCTGATTATATTTCTATATGTAGCTTTATTTTACTTCAGTTTAGTTTTAGTCATTTTAGTACTTCAACTTCAACTTATTTCAGCTAGTTGCCAAGGCAACATTTCTAATTTTTAGTTTTTTCATTTAATTTATATTTACATTTAATTAACTTTAATTAATTAATTATTTTACCTTATACATTTTTTTATTTAATTAAATGTAATTATTTTATTTAAATTAACAAAAATATTTTAGTTTAGTTACAGCGAACAATAACAACACACCACTGCCAAAACACAACATTTCCTTCAATTTGCGACAGAATCGCACATAACGCAAGTAAAGAGCGCTCCTTTTGTAATCAATGAAGTTGTCGGTCAGTTCGGTATAACACTATAGAAGAATAATGGTACATTAAATAAGAGTAGAACATAAAAATTTTCCATATATAAATTACATTTCGCACATGTTACTGTTGTTAAAAAAAGTCCATTTTATATGCATCTCAACTCAAGCTCTTTACTGTCAAATGTGCATTACCAAGAAATAAACATGTAATATTATTAGTAACTGCATTTACTAACGCAAAACAATAGTAATCGCTACCAAATCTGCTTCTGGCACCAATATGTAGAGCATAGACAACTCAAATGCTAGTCTGGAGCCCTGTATGGTCATATGTAGTTAAAAATACACAATTGCAATGTTTTTCTGTGTAATAAAACCTATTAAAATCCCCCTTCTCTCTCTATATAAAAGCAGAATTCTGAAGGAAAACTCGGTTGGATGCCGACTGAACGTGTGTTTGTCAGAGACTTTGTGTTTTGACCTTGCAAGCACACTGGGCAGTAAAGGGGGCGATTTATTACCCAGCATGCACTGGGGATGTACCTTATAATAGTGTACATTCCCTCAATGCACGCTGGATAATGTCAGTACACAAATGCATTAAGGGAACAATGTACTTTTACTGTCTCAGCGCTGTAAAACAACAGCGGCTACGAACAAGATGTGCATTTCTGATGTGTGTGTGTGTGTGTGTGTGGGATCTTGTGAAGATGACAGACTGAAATCTGTGAAAAATCTACACGCGTAAAAACATCTATATTCACATCATAAATACCTACACACAACTACACAAACACACACTTTTAATGACGCTTGAAAGTGTTTTCTATGTGGCCTTCAGCAACGAGCAGAAGAGAGAGAACATGTTCTCTGGAGCGAAAACGAGAGAAGAACCATTAAAGCAGCTCAAGTCCTGACATGAGACTGAGACGATCCCTGAGGAAAAGCACGAGTCAGTTAATCTACCACTCACACACTAAACTAGCAGAGTTGAACACAGTCACAGCCAATCAGAACACATCTGATGTCAATGTGCAGCTGTGGAGCAAAGAGATTTCACTGTGGGCGGGGCTACATAATGCTTCTTACAGAATTGCATGGAACTGCTTGTTACTGAGAGCCTTGAAGATTGTTTTTTAATATAAAAAATATATATAAATAAGAAATATAAATATACAAATATTTTTACATTTTGGGGAAATATTGTGTAAAATAATGGTAGAAATTTTACTGATAGTCTTGAATAAAAGTAGTTAAAATATTATATAAATATCTAAATATAAAACAATAATATATAAATCTAAAATATTTTTGAGTAAATATTGTACTGATAATTTTGGATTAAAATATTTAAAAATATAAAAATATAAACATAAAATATTTTTTAATTTTGAATAAATATTGTGTAAAATACCAGTGAAAATATCACTGACAGTCTTAAATTTAAATATTTAAAAAATATATAAAAAATAGTATATATCCATAAAAATATTAATAAAAATATTTAAAATGTACAGTAAATATTGTGCAAAATACTGGTAGAAATATCGCTGACCGTTTAAAAAAAAGTTTAAAATAATATATTAATATAGTATTTTAATCTAAATTAAAAAATGTATTCTAAATAAATACTGGTAGAAATTTCACTGACCGTCTTGAACAAAAATATTTAAAAAAAATATGAAAATAATATATAAATATTAAATATAGTTTTTACTGATAGACTTGCAAAAAATATTTTTTAAATATTAAGTAAATGTAAAAATATTTTTTAATTTTGAATAAATATTTTGTAATAAGTGTTTATTTTACACATCTTTGCTTATGATCAGCAATGCATTAACCATTGCACACGTTTCTCTCCATCATATCCTCTTTTGAAAACACAGATCAGATGAGCACTATTAAAAACAAGACAGCAGACGTTTGACACCGTTTTCAAATTCCACTGAAACCTGTTGGTTATAATACATTAAATCTGATGTTATGTTCTCAGAGCGTTTGTCTAATGTTCTGACCTTCATGAAGAGCTTGATGTTCTCCTCCTCTCGCAGGAAGTCCTTGTACAGCGTGCTCCACTGAGACACCAGGTGCAGTACTTTCCTCTTCCTGTAGAGGGCCTCCTTTCCCTCCTCCTTCCCCCGGCAGCGCTTCGTACAGTAGGTGAGATCCGGTTAAAGACCAACAACCAACTAACACACGACTCAGAAGAGCTTCTCTACACACACCAGATCGCAGATAAGCTAAATATATTTCACCCACTACACAAAGACAAAACTGTGGTTTTTAAAAATATTTAACAATATTAAAATATTTAGTGAATACAAAAATATAAACAAAATATATACTTTTTGAAAATTTTGATTAATTTTATTGTGTAAAAAACTGGTATAAATTGTACAGCCCTTACTGTCCTACATAATATAATAATAATAACAATTAGAAAAAAAAAAAAAAACATTTATTAAATAAAAACATTTATTATATTTGGTTAAAATTCCACACTTTCTAGGTCACTAATAATACTTTTTTTTTTTTTTTAATTACATTTGTTTTCAACCTCATAAGTCACATATGATTAATATTTTTTGCACAATGTATACATAATTAAAAAAAATATTTTAATGCATAATATTATACTATATTAATTTACATAATTCTGCATTATTTCTAGGGACTATATTTATATGTTGAATATGTTTATCTATATATAGAAACAAAGATTTAATGTTTGTATTTTTCAATAATATAATATCTAATAATATAACATATAATGATATAATGTATTACAAAAGAAAAACATTTATGATGTCTAATATAATATGTATATAATATATATATATATTTGCTTAAAATTCTGCATTTTCTAGGTCACTAATGACAAAGATTTTTTTCCCTTTTTTACAACTTCATATTTATATATGATTAATATTTTTGCACAATTTATACATAATTCTACAAATATTTTACATAATATTGTACTACATTTGCTTCTGCAGGGACTATAATTATGTTGAATATTTGTTTATTTTTTCAGCTACAATTCTCTCTATATAGAAAGAAAGATTTAATGTTTTTTTAATATATTTTTTATATAATATAATATAATGATATAATTTACTACAAATAAAAACATTTATTATATCTAATATAATTGTATTATATTTGCTTAAAATATTTTTTTCAGCTTCAATTTTCTAAATAATTAAAAAAATATATAATATAATATAATTAATTACAAATAAAAAATATTCTAATTTTTTATTATATTTAATTATATTTGCTTAAAATTCTGAACTTTCTAGGTCACTAACCCTTCAGTTGTGTATTTTTAACTACACATTACCATTATTTTCATACACAACAAATTGTTTTTGAAACATTATGAACGGAAAAATGTCCAGACGCCTTTAGCTGTGACTATATTTACAACGCAGCACGGCCATCCAGCTCAGTCATCAAACACACGATACATCAGCAGCGGTCATGTGTGTTTTGGTGCGATCTGAAGGATATTGTCCCAGCAGCGCCTGGCAGAGATCACTGGTGGACATGAACACCAGATACGTCAGCAGGAAGTCATCCAGAAGCGTTTCTGAAAGAAAACACACGCAAACAGATGAAGGATGTTCCCATCAGCAGATATTAACACACGCAGCTGATCTGCATTTCTCTCTCCTGGAAGGCATGTTTAATGAGACTCATGAACGCCGGGCTAATTAGTGCTGTTTGATCAGACAAGCGTCACTATTACTAGTGCTCATACTCGATCTGAACAAGATCCTGACGGCAAGCATGGCCCAAAACTTGTCCTGCGTTTCTTGTTGAGGAGTTACTTCACCAAACCACTCTGATTTTTTCACCTGGTGGACGATGAAGTGGACATGAGATGGATCTGAACTTCCGACAAAGACAAAAACATCTGGACAAACTTAAAACTAATGGCTATGAATATGCAAATCAGCTCCTAAATGTCATTATTAAAACATTTTCTGGTTCATCTGCTGGCTTTTATAAACCATATTTTATATATATACATATATATATATATATATTTTTTTTTTTTTATATATATATATTACTATGAATATATTCATATATTATTGGTATATATTGAGTAAATATTAATACTAATAAATAGTAAATATATTAATTTTGAATAAAATATTGAATAAATATAAATATTGAGTAAAATACAGTAAATATTTTGGTAGAATACTAGAAATACTAGTTGAATACAAAAATAATAATACATATAAATTAAATTAAATAAATATAATTAAAATAATTAAAATAAAAATATTAAATATAATAATAATAATAATAATTATTATTATTATTATCATTTTACTTCTGACTAAATATTGTGTTATACTGGTAGAAATTTTAATGACGGTCTTGAATAAAAAAGAAATATTGAAACTACTAGAGATTCAGTGCCGTATTCCCGCTCTCCACCCACAACCCCCTTCTTCATTTCTGTTTGTCTTCTCTGCGTCTGCTGATAAATATTCATTTCCATTTTTATCAGCGGTGCTTGTGCGAACAGAACACCGGCCCACAATGCAGCGCTGCACTTTCACCCTTTAACAAAATGCAATAAGTCTTTCTCTCCTTTTGTTGGCGTGAGGCTCATTTTAATGCAAACACAGCTGCCAACACACCGGTAATTACCCAGGATGCACTGCACTGCGGGGCTAATTTATGGCCTATGGGTGTGTTCTACAAAACACAAGGGTCATTGAATTACACTCATACATTAAATATACGCATGCACAAACACGCATGCACACAGAAAAACCCATTATCTCGCTGCTTTTCTCAGGTTTTGTGAAACCTCACATCGTCACTCAGCATTTTCTCCTTATTTGGGGTCGTTAATTCAATGCAAACACTAAAAACTCTCAGTTAAATGCATGTGAACTTCAAAGACGAGACTATACTGCACTGCAGATGTCTCAGAGAAGGACTTTTCCAGCTGAAAACTAGACTTAGTAGAGAAACTGCTGTGAATTTTCATTGCATGTTGGATTAGATATTGCATTGCATTGACTAAATAACCTCATCTGACCATCAGAAACTAAACACACACTTGCTATCAGCATGCACACATTGTGCTAACACACTCATTGAATAATTATGCTTTTGCAAGAATAAAAAGACCGGCTGTAACCAATGGGTTCACCTGAGTGTGTGTGTGTGTGAGAGAGAGTGTATGTGTGTG